AAAAAAAAAGAGGACAGTGGAAAGTGTAATTCCCTTTGAAAGAATTTTTGGAAGTAAGGCTTTCAAATAAATAATTAAAATCTCCCAAATTTTAGCACTTAAAGGAACAAGATAATTATTAATTTATATGGCTTCCATGTCCTTTGGGGATCTTTGGATAAATGATACTTTCTGTGCACATGCAAACACACCCCATATCAGTTATATTTACGCCTATGATGATATGCCCACCTATCAGATGTTTCTTCTAAGAGCGTTAGAATCAGGACTGAGAGGGAGTACACATTTGTTTCCAATCTTGTAGCTCAGTTAAGCCACACATTGGCCTTATTTTGAATCCTGGTTTTTTTCCCACGTATCAGCTCTGTGACTTGGGTAAATTATTAATTTAGGTGAACTTCACTTTCCTTATTGATAAAGAGGAGGGGCGAGGAGACTCGTGTGCATAAACTCTCGTGCCTGGTGCAGAGCCCGCCCCTGTGAGCACAGTTGGCACCCTGGGTCGTGCTGGCGCCCACTTGCCCCGGTGAGCAAGACCCCGCTGCACGTCTCTGTGCTCAGTGATGTCACATTAGTAGCTGGAATCAGCCATAGTGGGAGTGTTTATACCACAGAAATCAGCAAATGCTGCCAATCAGGGTCTTTTTTTTCTGGAGAGCCAGTTTCTAAACATTTCCCAGATCACCACTGGTCGGCACTCAGTCACTCGATTTCTCCACCCTTGCCTTGTCCTGTCAACCGTTTGTCGTCTGCGTTGCTGTCTCTCATCCATCCGGCGTCAGAATCACCTGGAAGGCTTGCTGCAGCACACGTCGCTGGGCCCTCCTAGAGTTTCTGATTCAGTCAGTCTGGAATGGGGCCTAAGAATTTGCATTTCTAACACCAAAACTGCTGGTCCGGGAACCAGACTTTGAAACACTCGTCTAATCTGTCTGATAAACTAAAGTCCACACTGCAAAGCCCTTTGTCGGGCCCAGAAGAGATCTCACCTTCTGTTTCAGACAATGGCATTAAAAATTAAATTGATGGATACTACCTAGCACTTTGCACACACACCATCTCATTTAATCTTCTTAAGAACCCTATGAGGTAATAATTAACATTTTAACCCCCATTTTATAGATGGGAGAAACTGAGGCTCAGAGGGATTCAGTAACTTACCTGAGGTCACACAGCTTATAAGCAGAGAGGCCAGGTTAAACCCAGGTCTTCCAGCCCCGGGGCGAGTGCATTCGTGGTGCAGATTGTGCGATGCCCAAGGGCAAGGAGAGGCTGAAATCCAGCATGCCCAGCTGTGCACCAGCATTAAGTTGCTGTGTAGGCTAGCAGTGGCGTTGTACAAGTCCATACCCTCCCCTCCCTTCACGGCAGCCTCTGGGGCCTCTAAACTGGTGGAAAGACTACGCAAGTGGGAGCGACAGAAAGTACAGAGAGGGCCGCAGAAAGACATTATTGGAAGCATCATCAAGCTCACACATGTGGGCATGTGGAAGAGGCTTATAAAACAGCTGTCCCTGCAGGAGGTTTTGGGGCAGGTGTCAGCGGGGTGGAGCAAGGGAATTTGGCTGGAGGCAGAGCCACAGATTGTCAGTGATGAGAGCTGTATCTCCTGCCCACCCCCGGCATGTGTGTGGCATGGAAGGTGCCCAGTGGGTGGGGCAATTAGCCTGTATCCCAGGGCGCCTGGCTCTGTCTTGCCTGCCCTCCCACTGCCTTCCTGCAATTAGATTGCACTGGCTAATAACTGCCAAGCCGCTTTGTTGGATCTGATGAGTTTATTAATTTCTTGGGGGCTAATGGGAGGGTGGGTGGGAGATTCATTTCCCAACTGGAGCTGAGGGGCTAATTAGTCTCTTTGCCATGTCCCCAGAGGTGGAGGGGAGGTTGCATTGCTCAAGCTGTCAGATCTGGCTCTGGGTAAATCATTTCTGTCCCTGGCTTTTGTGGAAGCCTATCTCTTGGCTCGGGTAAGACCAGGGAGTCGGGGCTGGGGCAGGCAGTTTCGAGAATTGGGTCCACTGAGAACAGTGGGGGTGGGAAAGTCGTGGCGGGGAGTGGGGAGCTGAGGTCCAGCCTGCCCTTTTGGTGTGATGTGCACATTTAGGTGACACATAGGACTCTAAGAAAGTTCAATCATGTCCCAAACATCCAAATAATGACATCCAACCCCATTGTTCTTTATGTCCTTCTGGCCAAATCTGGCCCTTCCCACCCTAGGAGACCATCAGGAGCAAATTCCTTCCATTTTGAAGACAGGGAACCTGAGCCTCCGAGGAGAGAGTCATTTCACCTGACTTTGTGGAGTATCAAAACCCAGCAGGAAAAAGCTCTGTGATCAGGATTCTGGCGGCATGGCTGAGGCCCCTTCAAGCCTTTCTCTGGTTAGGGAGGCCTGCTTATGTGGAGGGCACGTTGGCACCCCACCCAGGAGACAGCAGGAGAGACCTTGGATTTAGGAGTCAGACAGCTCTGAGTTCAAGCCATTAAACCTCTTGAAGCCTCAATTTCCTTACAAATAAAATAAAAACCCGTCACTAGTCCACAAGGTTGGTGGGAGAATTCAGGGAGATGGTGGAACACATCTAGCTCAGTGGGTGTCTGGCAACTGTTGTTCTCCTTGCCCCTTTCTCTTGAAAATCTACCAGCTCATCCCTCATCCTCCCCACCCCTTCCCCTACAGAGAGAGAGGAGGAGGGGGCAGCTCAGGCTTGGAGAGACAGTGGGCGCCCCAGAGAGCCAGAGGAGGAGCCACCTTCTGCCTGGGCCTCCGCCACAGCAGCAAGCTGCGATTGAAATGATGACTTCCCCTGCTCCCAAGTACCAGACCCTGAGCAAGGGGCTAGGACGTGAGCATAGAGAGGCCAGCCCCACACAGGCAGGTGGGGGAGACGGACAGGTAAACAGTGTGCGGTTGGAAGAGCCAGACAGGATGGCCTTGAAAGCTTCCTTGGGAAGACTCATCTGGAGCTAAGAGCACAGGGGTTAAGCTCAGGCCTCTCCTCTGGTGGACGAGGTGACCTTGAGTTGAGTGGGCTCTTTTATTTTGGCATCAGTTTCTTTATCTGTCAGATGGGGTTTTCCGTGGAGATATGCATGAGACACTGCTTATAAACTAAAAATGAACACGAGCATGTACGGGAGCATCCTGCCCTCACAGAGATGGAGAAAGCTGCCCAGTCCCCTCCAGTTGGCGTCCTCCCGGAGGCTTGGAGAGGAGTTTGTGGTCATCTCCCCTTTGGCAGGTGAAAGGCTCACCTGTAGAGACCAGCGGGCTCCTGCTTGGAACTGGAGGCTGTAAGAGCTCCCAGCTCATGGGCCGGGGTGGCCCTAGCTTGGCCCTTCCCTCTTCAAGCTCCAGACCATGATGTCAGGGAGACGGTCACTGCTCCCCATGACCCTCAACCCTCTGGCCCCATGGGGTGGGAGTGGGGACCAAGGGTGAGATGTGTCTTTATTGCTGTTGGAGCTTCCACAAAAGGAACCCAGAGCCCAGCTCTGGTGAGCAGAGCTACAGGGAACCTGTCAGAGTTTTCCAGGGAAGCTGCTGCTGGTGCCTGGAGATGCCTGGCAGAGGCAGACGTGTGCATTTCACTGGATTTCCAGCCAGCTGTCAGCCATCTCTCCTGGCTGCTCACCTCAAACACTCAGCAACAGAAATGATTTGCCAGGGACTCCAGCTAGTAGAAATATATTGGTGTCACACACACACAGATGTATTTATAAAAAGGCTCGCTGGGAAAACAAACAGACCATCTAAAAACCCAATAATGTTACGTTTAGGTTTAAGTGACTTTCTAGAATGAGGAACTAAGTCGTGGATTTTCTTTTCCTAGAAGTCAAGACAAGAGGGAAGCAGAAGGAAAATGGCATTTATTGAGTGTCAATTAAATACATCTCACAATGACCCAATGAACTTTCTATTATTCCCATTTTACAGATGAGGAAGCATGCTCAGAGAGGTTCAGTAACTTTTCTGAGGTTACACAGTTGAGATCCATGCTCCTGGGTCTGGCTGAATAATATAACGACAGATTGGGGCATTTATGATCTCAGTTGGCTCTGAGAAGAAGGTAGGGCAAACATGTCCATCCCCATTTCTCAGTGGGGAAACAGACTTGGAAAGATTTAAGCAACTTGCCTAAGTTCTAGCAGCTAGCAAGGGAATCAACCAGCACTAGAACATGGGTCTTCCCTTTTTGGTTCATTCGTTCAACTGAGCCATTCAGAAAACACATATTGAAGAGCCCAGTATATGCTAGTTCTCTCCAGTATACCGTTCTGATCCTTACTTAGGTCATCAGAATTATTGAAGGCAGGCTGAAGCCAAAGAGCTCTGTGGCTCCTTCCTGCCTCAAGATAATGCTATTCTGGGGGCCGGCCTGGTGGTGCAGCAGTTAAGTGCGCACGTTCCGCTTCGGCGGCCTGGGGTTCACTGGTTTGGATCCCAGGTGCGGACATGGCACTGCTTGGCAAGCCAGGCTGTGGCAGGCATCCCACATATAAAGTAGAGGAAGATGGACATGGATGTTAGCTCAGGGCCTGTCTTCCTCAGACATTAGAGGAGGATTGGCAACAGTTAGCTCAGGGCTAATCTTCCTCAAGAAAAAAAAAAAAGATAATGCCATTCCACATGTTTCACTCCCTTCTGTGTAAGAGAACTTCCCTGAACAGCATTCCATTCCTGATTTGCTTTTCCATTTTCCTTTTCCACCTCTCCCAAGTCTTTACCCCTTTCTTTCCTTCTTCTCACAGGTCTCCCACCCCTCCCTCACTCCCCCAACCCTATGTAACAGTACCCCTGTCCCGGTCCAGCCCCTCTACTCCATACTCATATCCCTCCCTCCTTCTGTGGCTTACATATACATAGCCCACCCGGGGGCAGGGCACTGGCCTCTCAGCTCCTTCCGGCCCTGGAGGACTGCAGGACCTCAGCTCCCCAGCTCCCCAGCCTCCTCCTGCCCCCCTATTTCTTCCCAGCCCTCTCTTCTTGGTCTCCTCAGATTGGCCAGTGGCACGTGGCAGACGGCCTCAGCATGGACAGCCGTCTCTACGCCTCCAACATCTCCGACAGTCTCTTCAATACCACCCTGGTCGTCACCACCATCCTGGTAAGCGGGGTGCACCCAGGCCTCCTAGCTGCAGCTCCCCAGGGTGCCTCCTCTGGCTCCAGGTACACCAGGCTTCCCCGTGAACAGAAGATGGGAGCTCTAATCACAGCACCGAGGCCAATTCGTGATAGTGTAATTAAACTCAAGTCTCTGTTGCATATGGAAGTGATATTTGATGAGTTCCAAAGCAGGTGGGGAAGAGGAATGGGCTGGAGAGATACCACATGGTTGTGGATACCTCTTCCAGGGGCACCCTGACAGCCGGGGCAGCTGTGCATGGCCACGGGAAGGGGACCTTATGATACAGGTGGGAGAAGCCCAGCTGGGGGCTGGATCCAGTCCATCAGGGTGGCCCCCAACTCTTTCACAACAGCCTGCCTTGCTTGGTTCCTATCACGTGCAAAATGCCCCCCTGCAGTGGTCACCTGAATTTTGGTGGGTTTTCATGGCCTGGTTCTTCATTTCCAGGTGGAGAAGAGAGTTCTAAATCTATGGGGCAGGGGACCATCTGCCTTTTCCATTAGACTCAGTTCTCTTCAACAGTTACCAAGCCCTTCTCCCCATGTGCCAGGCATGTGCTCATTCCTGGAGACACAAAGATGAGTAAGACTCAGTCTCTATCCTCAGAGAGGTTCTAATTTAGTAGGTGGCATGAATCAAAGTGCATTCCCAGCCAAGGGGTTCTTCCTCTTCCCCCCGAAGAGCTCATGTTTTAAAAGATTTTAACCAATTAAACCAACTGCATGTATTAAGCAATAATTAATTTGTTCTTCTCCCCTCTTCCCTTTTAACTAATCAAAAGCATATTTCCCTGCCTGGCACAGCGTCTTATCAGCAGGAGATAACCAGTGTTGCTACACTGATATAATTCCAGCCCAAAGCAGCAACTTGATGTATTCGTTAGCCTGCTCAGCCTTATCGTAGCTAAATGTGCAAGGTCTGCAAACATGTCTGTTTCTTTTAGGGGTTTTGAGATAATAGAAAGAGCTCAGGGACCTCCATCACTACCTTCATGAACTCCTGGGACCCAGGAACCCTGGACTGGAATTACTGATGCACTGGAAGCAGAGTGGGATAAAAGCTGGGAAAGAGGCGCATACCTAGCACCACGGGATTGAAAGAGAGGGGGTCCCATCCCATCGGGGAGGTCAGCAAAGCCTTAGGACAAGAAGGGACGTTTAAAGTTGGACTCCAAAAGACAGGGAGAGATAGAGAGGGAGAAGAGAATGAGGAGAGTGTTTTTGGGTGTCGGGAAATGCTGAAAAGTGCAGGTTTTCCCAGGAAATGGGCGTTGGTAGAGAGAGGAGAGGCATAAAGCCAGAAAAGGGGGTTGGGTCCATAGTCTTAGGAACGTGAATGTGGGCTGTTGAGTTTTCCCTTGACTTGGTAGGAGACAGGGGGTCACTGATTATTGTTGTTCGTTTGTTGAGTGAATATTTATGGGGCATTGCTGTGTGCTGGGCACTGTTCTAGGTGCTCAGAAAGAGAGAGAGCTGAGGAAGGGGCGATGGGGGTGCTGAGAGCACAGGCGGTCTGAACACCAGGTGGTCAGGGCCTCACCGAGAAGGGGGAATTTGAGCAGGGACCTGATGGGAGCGAGGCGAGAGCCAGGTGGCCCTTGGGGAAGGAACATTCCTGGCAAAGGGAACAGCCAGAGCAAAGGATGGACAGAGCAGTTCCAGCTCCCAGGGTTGTAGACACTCCCCATCTCGGCTCCAACCCTTGCTATCTGAACCAACTTGAAAACGTCGGAAAGACTAGAAGGTGGTGGTGTCACCACCCCAGCTGAGACGTAGAGAGCCTGGCTGAGCTGGGGCCATAGTCAGCTGCAGTCCCAGCCCAGAGATGGTGGGCAGCACACAGCACGATTGCTGGGTCTTCCCTCCCGCTGTCCTCTCTACCTCTGACATACGCTTTCTTGAGTCCGTCCCCTGCCAGCCATCCCCGAAGCCCACGTGCTGACTTAGGCCCCTCTGCCTCTTTCACCTGAGCTCTAGCACTGCCTCCTCACAGGCTGCCTCCTCACCGGCTCAGTCTATCCCCCGCCTCCTATCAGGGTGCTCATTCTAAAATCAGACTTGTCCTGATATTTCCTTCCTTACAGTCCTTCGATGCTGCCCAGGACCCACCGCCCCTGAGCCTGGAATATATACCTTTCATAATTAGACCCAGCCTGCCATCCCTGCCTCCTCTCCATGCAACTTGGGGTCTGGTGGTACCGGACTGCCCAGCACCTCACTGTACCCTGCTGTTCCCTGCCTCTGTATGTGCTGTTCCCTCTGCCCAGAATACCCTTTCCCCTAATTCCTAATTCCAACTGAAAATGCCTACGCACCCTTCAAAGCTCTGCTCATATGTCACCTCTTCCATGCAATCGTCTCTAATCTGACTCCTGGCCTCCCCCGTCTCTAGCATTTTATACCCACCTCTGTTGTGGCATTTCTCCTGTTAGAGGCTGTTGTTTATAGCTCCACCTCCCCTACTAGAATGAGAGCTGCTCAGAGACTGGGTGCCTGACACAAACTAAGAGCTCGAAGTTAGAATTTGAATGAAGGAATTCTTTCCTCCTGGGTGGGGGATGTCCCTTAAAAGCCCACAGGAGTTTGGGAGGAAGATGGGAATGTCGCCGAGTTCCTCTCAGGGTCTGGAATTGGACAGTGCTCAGAGCTTTGGCACAGTCCCACGGCGACATTGACAGAAAAGTCAACGTGTGTGTGTGTGTACGCATGCACACATGCACCCACGGTTGTTCGCAAATGCACATGTATGTTCATGAGGGATGGGGGCAGGACATTTTTGTGTCAGGTGACATTAGGTAACTTAGTAAGTACAATTCAAACAACAATGCTTTTTTGTGCATGTGTGTCTAAGATGGCCAAAACAAGTCAATAACTCCTCCCAGGAATGATTATCTTAATTCAGTCCCTGGTGACCATTTGTGGGTTAGCCTTTGCAAATGGTAATCCTGAATGATTTATCCCTTAAAACTCAGCACTGATCCCTGTCGTCTCCCGCTCGTGTCAGGGTACACTTGGGACACGTGGATGATTATTGGTTAACACCAACAAGTACGCAGAATTAACCGCAGCTCCCCCTCTCTGGAACACACACTCCACGTCAGACCCCGTGCGAAATGTTTTCCCTGCATGGCCGCCTTCCATCTCCCAACACTCCGGCCCGGATGGGGGTTCCTGCTCCAGGCCAGCGCTCAGCCCCGCATCTTCCAAAGAAAGAGCAGCGAGCCCCGACCTCTCTGACATTTGGGCTTTCACACACGTCTCCTCCCACCAAGATCGCCCTTTGTATGTTTATTTTGAATATGTCAGTGGCGCAAGTTAACTTGAGAGTAGAGAGTGTTTGGGGAGAATTCTGTGACACTCCTTGAGATAATTAAAGATACCCTGGGACGTTGCCAACCTAGAGAGGGAACCCCAGCCAAGCCCCATCCATGAGGCCATTTCAACACTTTTCACTCACACAGGTAACAAGTGCTTAATGCTGGAGCCAGGTGGGGGCACCAAAGAGGGGAGGAGTCAGTCTGCTTACATTCCACCTGGGAACGGGCACAACTAGGAAGACGGAGGATGGTTGTGTGGAGCCCTGGCCGGGAGTGCAGTAGGAGTTCTGAGAAGGGGGTTGGTGTAGGAGGAGGTGATGGGACCCCAAGGACAGGGATGAGTCAGGTTAGGCAGAAGAAGGGAGGGAGGGCTGTTGGGGCAGAGAGAAGCCCCTGAGCTGAGGACAGCATGCCTGGAAGGCAGGGAGACTGGCCCCATGTCATTGACGGGACAGTGGATTTGATCGTGAATCAGAACCTTCAACTCGCAGCTTCCTCTCCCTGCCGCACAACCTTCTACCTTCCCTGCTCCCACTTCATCACACCCACAAAACTGACCTCGTGACCTCTGGTCTCTCAGCTCTCCATCTCCCCAACCCAGAAGCGCCTTCCAGCTTGAGCACAGCTAATCAGCATTTCAGCACTTCTCTCTCTGAGCTTCTAGAATGGTCTCTGTCCTGATGCTCAGCCATCTCACCTCATGCCTGTCCCCAAGTCCAACTGTCCTTGGAATCCCTGCTCCCGGCTACCAATCTGCATTCAGCCCCCTGGCTTCAGCTGGGCCTCAGCAGTCCCTGTGCTCATCTCTTGTTCACGCCCTATCATATGCCCTGAGCAGTTCTGCCAGACCTTTCCACACTCCAAGCCTTCACTCCCACCTGCCCCCAACACAACTCTGGGGGTGACACGGGTTCCCTCACTTCTGACCTCCTCACCTCCTCTCTGTATCCACATCCATGTTCTCTCCCTTACCTCCAGCCCACTGCCCAGCCTCACACTCACCCTGACTCTGTCTCCTTCCACCACATCCTGGGACCTTGCTCCACCTACTAGCACTTCTCTGTCTTCCTTCTCTCATTTGTCCTTTTAGAGGGATTCCTCCCTTTCTACCTCCAAATATACTCTGGTTCTTCCCATCCTAAGACACCATCATCACCACCTTACCTACACCTTTGTACCCTTCCAGCTCCCTGCAATTTAGGGAATCATGAATCCTGGGCTTAGTGGACACTTGAAGATCCTCCAGCCTAGTTCTTTGCAGATGGGAAACTGAAGCTCGGAGAGAGACGTGACTCAGAGAAGTTGGGTGAAGGGGAGATCTGCCCGCCTTCCGTTATCTCCTGACTTCTCAAGATGCTGCTCCACTCTCACTTGTGTACCTCTCCTTCACCTTCACCCCCCAATCCTGCCGAGTTCTGCCATCCCCACTGAATCTGCCTTCAAGAGGCCACCAGTGACGCCTGACCCCGGTGTCCTCTCACAGCCCTGCTTCATCTCTGTGTGTTCCAGAGTGTCTGCATTCTCCTTTTTGGAACTCCTTCCTTCTGGACTTTCTTGACCATATTCCCCTGATTTTCAGCTTTTCTGGCTGCTTCTGGTTTGTCTTCTATGGCCACTCTTCATTTTCCCATCCTCTAAGATCAGGGTCTTATCTTTCTTCTGTCTTTTCTCAAGGACAAAGGCCTCTTCTTATCCCTCTCTGTCCTTCCTCCATTCTTCTCCCTCGATGGCTTCACTGGTCCTGCAGCTTCAGCCATCACCTCTCTACAGAGGCCTCCCAATCCCTGCCTCAGTCCTGTCCTCACTCCACATTTTAAGCATTCAGTTGGGCGTTTCCTTCTGGAGAGCCTACCAGCACCTCAGATTCAACATGTTCCAAATCCTCTTCCATTCCAAACCATCCCTGGCAGTGATGACCCCATCCTTGGTCATCCACCCGGGCTCCAAGGATCTGAGGACCCCTACCTTCTGCACCCCACACCCAACCTGTCATCAAGCCTGACCCTCTCTGTGTCTCTTCCAGGTCTCTCCCGTCCAACCTGAGTCAAGTCATGGCTCAGGACTCAGTGTCCCATATCAGGAGATGGTCTGTCCTCACCCCCAGATGTTCTCTCTCTTATTATTTAATATTCTTTAATCATAGCCCTAAGTCTTTAAAACCCTCAGTGCTTCCCTCCTATATATGTGTGATGTCCATTCACCTTGTCCTGGCAGCCAAGGCCCATGTTGATCCTAATTCGTCTTTCTAAATTTATGCTCCCACTTCACCCCTCCACACAACCCATGTTCCAACAACATGGAGGATCTATTGTCCCCTGAATAGGCCATGCTCCTTCTTACTCGGGGTATGCCCTTGACCATGCCTTTCCCCTGCCCATGATGCCCTCCATTCACACCACTTCCATCTGTCAGTGTTCTGTCATTCCCAGAGCCCAGCTTAGATCCAGCTCTTCCATGGAAACTTCTCTGGACATTTCACAGGAGAGACCCATCCCTCTCCCCGGCACTCTCATGGCTGGACATGCTCTGCCTTGGGGTGCAGCTGTTCAGTACCTGTTCTTCCCTAGCCTGCTCTCTTGTCAGCATCCTTGTATCTCATAACGCCCAGTGATAGGCCTGTGTAGAATAAACAAAAAGAAGAAAAAACATGGAAGGGATGAAATAGAGGTGGAGTCAGATGTTGACCTTCAATAAGGTAGAGGGGCTTCAGCTTGACCCTCTCACAGTGGAACCATTGTGTATTCCTGGCATGAGAAGTGCCTTGAAGTCGGGGAGGGAAGCTAATTGCCACCTCCGAAGTAGCCCATCACCCAAGCCACTTCCCTCCTTCTCCCCCGTCTTCTCCCCAACCTCCTGCGTCCCCAGCCCCACCATCCCCTGTGGCTGAGACACCAGGGCTAAGGTGAGAATGACAGCTGCCCAGTTTTGCTGCAGGAAAACCCGTATTTAATGCTGAAGGGGAACCACCAGGAGATGGAAGGCAATGACCGCTACGAGGGCTTCTGTGTGGACATGCTCAAGGAGCTGGCGGAGATCCTGCGGTTCAACTACAAGATCCGCCTGGTCGGGGATGGTGTGTACGGTGTTCCTGAGGCCAATGGCACCTGGACAGGAATGGTCGGGGAGCTGATCGCTAGGGTAAGGAAAGAACAGGTGATTTGGATGGAGGTGGGCTGGGGAGGGAGACGAAAGAGCATAAGGTTGTGCTGTATGCTCATGAACCTTCCATTTATTCAGTCAGTCAATCATTCATGCATTTGTCATTTACTTGTCCACTCATTGCACAAATATTTACTGAGCTGGCACTGACCCTAGGCACTGGTGATATGCATTGGTGAGTAAGACCACCAAGATTCCTGGCCCGTGGCTCTCCCAGGACTGCACCTGTAACAGGTAATGGAGGTTTTGGCCAATTAGCCCAGATTAGCAAGTTTGGGTCCCATGCTTGGATAATCCGGGTGCTCTTCGTTTGTTCTGATTATTTTCTTGCTCATGAGCACGCCCTGGCAGAGCTTAGACACGTCCTGGGAGAGTGGAACACTCCCACGTCACTTGACTTTGACATCTGAGAGGTGCTGTCAAGAGAGACATGGTTAAATAAGAGGGGAAAAGGAATCGACTGTCAGAGGAGTTGGTCACAGTTACGGTTATTTTGTTCCTTCTTGTATTCTTTTCTGCTATGGTTAATGTGCTTTTATAGACCCAGGGCCAAGGTGCACCTGGACAGGCTTTCAGGGTGAGTGTGGAGACTTGATTAAAATGCAGGTGAACATCATAGAAAGTCATCTGTTAGGTCAGAACAAGAATGGAGAAAGTCCTTCCAGGGGGAAATCTCATGTTTTTCTGGTATACACTATTTCCACCTGTGAAAATTAATTAAGTCATTACTAATTCCCTGTCCGTATTTCCATAACCAAGTTTTTATGGTCAGGATAGGTGATGGGTACCCAGTGCAGAGAGCACAGATCTGGCTCCTTAGTGTGACCTTGAACCAGCCTCTTTGCCTCTCTGTGCTTTCCAAGTGCAGAAAGAGCCCCTGCAGCATCCGGCAAGTGCCAGAGGGCATGGTGCTTTACCTCCGCTCTCTCTCACGCCCTAGAAACATGCCTTTAGCTCGGTGTTACCCCACTTTACAAATGAGCCAGCAGAGAGCTTGAATGAGTCTGAGACAGGGCTGGGATTTGAACCCTGATCTGTCTCTCTCCAGAGCCCACATTCCTCCCGCGGGCAGCGCACTATCTCAGCTGGACTTTGATGTCACCACGAAAGGTGCACGTAGATGCAGGCTCTTCCGTCTCTCCTTCCTTTACGTCCTCCCTCCCTCCACACCTCCCTCCCTGCCACCCTTGCTTCCTTTTTTTCTTTCCTTCCTTCTCTTCTCCCTTCTCTTTATCTACTGAGTTAATATGATTTTAACCCGTTATCTGTACCAAATTTGGGAGATAAGATGAATTTTTGAAGTCCTAGTCTTCAAGGACAAAAATCTTAGTTGGGGTATTAAATAAGCGGTCCTTGACAATGCATTATGAAAAGTTCTGTAGAGACAAGAGCGTGGAAGAGGTATTTAAGAGCTGAGGAGGGAGGGTGCGTAGGAGTTTGCCTGGCAGTATAGACAGCATTTGCAATGACCCAGCACTGGGGGACACAACAAGACTTGTTCAGGGAACCGGGTCCAGTGTATTGGAGTGCAGAGTGAGTTGGTTCAGAAGGGAGGCCTTGCTCACAGGGAGAGGCTTGCAAACAGGGGGCTGACCGATCAGCAGGAGGCCGCAGAAGCCTAGGGAGCCCTGGAAGCCTCTCACAGGGGCGGGGTGGGGGCTGGAGACCTCTGCAGGGAGCCATCTGCCGTCTTTGAGACTCAAGCCCACCCTGCTGCTGATACTCATGCTTCAGCGGAAAAGGATGTGCCGCTTTTCTCTGCAGTCCCAGGCTCCCTCCTGAAACAGTCTTCTTGTTTGGATTCCACTGTGGAGGAATCCAGAAAGCTGAAATGCCAGGCCTCTTCCTTCCCCTCTTAGCGACGTACTTGGTAACCTTGAGTCCCCTTGGGCTGCCTGGTGATGGGTGGGGTGACTTCAGGGATGTCAGAGTCAGTGCACAGCCATCCCCTTATCAGCCCCCTAATGAGCTGTAACATGGACTGGCAGGAGAGGAAAAGAGTCTGGGACTCAAGGACATGCAGCTACATACTGAATGCCTTGGACAATCAGACAAGGATCTCAACATTCACCCCCAGATCGGCTTTTAAGCTACAATGCTTCTGCTTTAGTCTCATCAAGACTTGGCTACATAGTATTAATTAATTAACTACTTAACCCATTCATTCAATAAATATTTATTGAACACCTTCCACTATTCTAGACATTGGAGATACAATGGGAGACAAAATAAACATGGACATTGCCTTCATGAATCTTACCAGTAAGAGACAGAGATTAATGAGTGATCACATTAATATATAGTTTCAAACTGTGCTAAGTGCAAGGCAGGCGAAGCAGAAGGAGCTGTGAGAGAGCATCTAGAGGGGAGCGGGGTGCAGCCTTGAGTGTGAAGGGGTTAGGGGAGGGAAGGCTTCCCTTGGGAAATGAGGCACCAGCTGAAGTCTGAAGAATGAGAAGAACACTCCAGCTAGCAGGCTGTCTGAATGCCACTGGGGTTGATCCTGGGCAGGAGCGGGTGACACTGGGACCCCGCCTTCTCCAGGTTCGATGCTTTGATATGTCTGACAAGCTGTTCACCTGGGATTGCAGTAGTCCTAAGGCCTGAATCCATTCTGTGTGACTCCTTCCCTGAGCTGCACAGGAACGTTTCAGAGGCTGTAACTGCAAAGCCTCAGGGCTGCTGTTGTCCCAACTAGAAGAGACCTCAGAGGTCGCCACGCCTAAATCTGTCACTTACACAGAGGAAGAAATGGAGAGTCAGAGAGGTTAAGAAACCTGCCAAAGATCACACAGCTTCGAGCCAGCGTTTAAGCCTCCGTCTGTCTGCCTTCAGTGCTCATGTTCTGAAAGAGCACAATCTTGATGTTAGACAGACTTAAGCTAAAGTTTCAATTATCTACTTACTAGCTGGATGTTCTTGGGCAAGTTATTTCCTCCTCTCTACCCCTTCCCCAAGGCTTCAGTGTTCATCTGGAAAGGATTTATTTTTTTAAGGATTTGAAATAACACACATACACAGGGTGTTTAACACACAGGAAGTTTAAGAGTTGTCTTAGGCCGGGCTCCCTGGGAAACAGAGCCCCAGGCAAGGCTTCCGTGCTAACTCAGGGAGGGCAATTCCAAGGCCCCAGAAGGGAGGGGAGAGCAGATAGAAGGGCCGTGGCCTTACACCTATCACAGCTGACTGTTCAGTCTTCAGAGAGGACCCCTGAAATACTGCCTCACCAACCAGCCCATAGCCGGAGGGAGGAAACCTATCTGCTGAGTCCCATCTCTCACTGGCTGAAGTTCACTCCACAGGGTGTCACCTCTCCCACACTTCTGTGTTGTGCACTAGGACCCTCTGGTCACCTTCAAAGAAGAAAAACCCCAAGGCAATGGTGCCAGCACTCTCAGTGCGAGTCACCTCAGGTGTGCTGATCCAGCGGTGGGTGTGAGCCAGTGCCTGCCTGGTTACCACGAGGGCCCGCTTATTCTCGTATCTCAGCAGCCTAAGGAAGCCTCAGGGATGGAGGCTAGAGGAACGGAAGCAAGGAGTGAGGCGAGGCAACGTGCAGAGTCAGGAAGAGCAGACATGGTGGGCCACACCAGCCAAGATGGTGGGACGCCATGATGACACAGCCCCGGCCACCAAGGCAGTGACAACCTGCCCAGCCTCCCTCCAGTGAAGACCGAAAGTTCCCTCTGTGGATCACTAGAATGCAGTTGGTGCCCAGCCATCTGCCTGGAGGGTTATTGGTAACACTGAGTGGAAACCCTCATGGCTGAGCGAACCTAGGGGCGAGCATTAGCTGGTTTGTCCAAGGAGTGATTATGATTAGGCTCCTTTAGGTACACCAGGCTGTCTCTCAGTGCCCCTCTTCTTGTTCAAAGAGTATGTGTTCCCCAGTACAAAAAACAAAATTAAGCCAATCTTCTGTTAACAGCTAAGAGTGAAAACCATTGTTTGCATCACACTGGGGCAAGCCTGAGATTTCTTCCTGGGGCTCCAGAGGTCTGAGCTGGGGCCTCAGTGTCAGGGCTCAGGAGTTGTCCTGCAGGCACGTGCGGCTCTTTGGGGGCTGCTCACTCATGCAGCACACGTAGCACTTAGGGGAAGAAAGGGAATGTGTACAAGGATGAGGGGCCAGGGGTGTGCATGCACAGGACTGCCCACCAGCTTCCCCAGGACAACAAGCAAGGCAAGTGTGCAGAAACTGCAGCAGGAGAGACAAAGGCTTGATATAAAGGAGAATCTCCCTACCAAGCGACGGGGGGCTGACTAAGGAACCTCTTTCTTTGGAGTGTTTAAGAATGCAGTAGCTACTGGATGTCTCGGTGACATGGAGTAGAGCAGAGAGGCATGGGTCATCTCCAGTGGGCGTTCTAGAGCCTCAGTCTTTTCATGTCTATTATCACCTGCTTACCCAAGTCTGTTGGCTTGCACGCAGCATATTGTTTGTAGAAAAGCATTCAAGCATGTTTTCTGTATACATTTGAAATCGGGTATGTCTTTTGGTGTAAATCCCATTAAAAGTGGGAGTGTCATTAGAGTAAAAACAAGTGGATTCACATAAACTGGGCCAGGTGGGTGGCCTGGCAACCCCAGGGCTATGTCTGAGCCATGGAGGTAAGAAGGATGACTGGGAGCTCTTGGGTTTGGATGTTGTCCCTGTTGGGTCCTTCACAGCTGAGCCCACAGCAGGCGTGCACAACAGTGACGATGTGTCTTGGTGGAGGTATCTTCAGCAGAGAGGAGCAGAGCTCCTCCTGGAGTAGCTTGAAGGAAGGAGATGCCCCAGAAACAGTCTCAAGGGTCCTCCTATATCACCCCAATACATTTATTTAAAGTGAATTTTAATTGAAATTATTTAAAGTATTCAGATGCAAAGATGAATAAGATAGTCCCTGGGTCACTCTGATGGGGGACCAGTTGGGTAGAAGCAGAATGAGAAAGGCTGTGATGGGGAAGCACAGGGTACAGGGAGAGGCAGGAGG